AGCCATCATGTTTCCTCGTGTTAAGTTCAACTATCAGGCCTTTTATAAAGCAAATTATGATTGGTTATCACAAATATCTAAAGACAGGTGGGCTTGAATTTCACATGAATGTCCAGACAACAAAATCAAGCTGCAAATAACTGCTTACTGTTATAAGCAGTTTCGAGATTACCAGTAACTCAACTATTCAAGATGTATTCACCCTATTTCGTTTAAGGTGATTAAGTACTGGTTTTTGAATTTTCCTACAATGCCATAACTAGAGCTGACGTTTCCAAAGAATTTCACATTGCCTTGCTTTCCCAAAAGTTGTTCTCTCTCTCGCTCTCTCTCAATATATATGTATATATATACCACTTATTATATGAAATTTTCATTACATATACACTATCTTATGCTGACTTGCAGTCTCAGGTCTAATCAATTCACTTATTACCCTGTTTGTCTGTTCAGATGATGCAACCGGTCAAATGCGAGGGACATGTCGAGAATTGGCTCACTGTGTTGCTACGTATCAGCCAAACCTCGTTGCATGTGCTCATTCGGAAGGCCTTCTACAGCATCATTGATCCGGCCAACGATCTGATAGAGTTCTTTGACAATCAGCTCTCTCAGATCTGCCTGATTGCCATTCAGATTCTGTGGACACGAGACGCTACAGAAGCACTTCAAGGGGCCCGAGACAACCCAAAGATCGTAAGCAAGACAAATAAGCACTTCCTCGACCTGCTCAATGTGCTGATAGGTGAGACAACACGCGAGTTAAGTAAAACGCAAAGGACCAAGTACGAGACCCTAATTACAATCCATGTTCATCAAAGAGACATATTTGACGATCTGGTAAGCTCCTTCAGTTTCTATTTCACTTATTTCTCCTCGATTGTTATGCAAAAATTTACACAATCTCCTTACATAATGCCCTTAAATAATTATAAACCTCGGTCCCGCTTGCCAAGGTGGAGTTGAACCGGATAGATTCTTCTTCCACAAGTGGTTAAAGAAGCTTTTTTGCTGAGGGTGCATATGGGACCCTCGTTCAAAATAAGAGGAGGAGAGTCAGTCGAATAGGATTTGATATGATATGGGTGTATAAATCAGGGAGTGTATCATATAAGGAAAGGTGGTGCAAAAGTGTTTATTTTTATCGAGATATTTAGAGGAGGCACAGAGAGGTGAATTTGATTATTATAAGCTAATTCTGTTGAGTTTTCCTTTATTGGGGTAAATAATAATACTACTAATTAAAAATAATATGCGATTTTTCTATGCTAAATGTGCATATCGTCCCAAGATATTGTATTTAGTTTGAAGAATAGTGATTGCGTAATCCATTTGTAATTTTTTACTCAGTGATATTGTTGGGATTATATTTCTTTATTCATATTTTTTGCAAGCTTACAAATATGCTTATAGGTTTCCTGGGACTTGTAGTAGAATATAAAAATGAGACAAGTAATTTTGTAAACATTATTGTTAGCCAATAATTGTGTTATTACATTTTATTCCGAATTATCAGTAGGCTTTATGTTCCTATTAAATTTCACATAGCCGTCCTTCCTAATAAGTTTTTTCATCCAGACTTGAGTGGAATGCAGCTTTGATCTTGCCTTAACGGATTCAATCAGCAGCCGAATAGGTACCTCGTTC